AGGACCTGATACCAAGGGCTCAAGTAGAAAGCAAATGTTTTGAGAATGATGAGGGCAACAAATGTACAAATGTGCTTGACACAATGGATGGATGTATGAATTGTGATGAGTTGCATGAGCCCCTAATAAAATGATTTAGATTTTTTTTTTAGTGTGGCTGGGTACACTACCCACTTTGAACTATTTTTGTTAATGCAGTTCTTATTTGCATACAATCAGTGTACTCCATTCTGCACTTCCTTTTTCATCTGAGGGAGAGCCGATGAGGAGGGACTTATTTCAACTCTACTAAACACAATTTCCCTTTCCGAAGCGCTCCTAGGGTACCTATTGGGGCTTCTGAAGACTCAGTTGCTCCCATCCCTTAGGTTGGTTATGACTCCAAGTACCTGTGGTAGTCGGGATGTCGATGTGCCGTTCGACAGGGAACTTCCTAGGGCAGCGGTTCTCAACCTGGGGGTTGTGACCCCTTTGGGGGTCGTAAGACCCTTTCACAGGGGTCTCCTAAGACTATCGGAAAATACATATTTCCAATGGTCTTAGGAATCGAGATATCGATCCTCTATCCTTCTCCAGGTGGGTCCGCCCACATGCAGATACACCCACCTATGAGTACCCATGCTACACTATGCTTCAAGACAAAATTTCATTGATTTTTCGTTAGAAATAAATATTTCACAATATATAATGACATATTGTTTTTGTGATTAATCACTATGCTTTAGTTATGTTCAATTTGTAACAATGAAAAATACATCCTGCATATCAGATATTTACATTACAATTCATAACTGTAGCAAAATCACAGTTATGAAGTAGCAACGAAAATAATTTTATGGTTGGGGGTCACCACAACATGCGGAAATGTATGAAAGAGTCACGGCATTAGGAAGGTTGAGAACCACTGTCCTAGGGGGTTTGATTTAGGGAAGTAAGAAAGCTAACCACATGAGCTACCGTGTTTCCCCGAAAGTAAGACAATGCCCGAAAATAAGACCTACTGACAGTTTTGCCTCTTGCTGAAATATAAGGCACCCCCCAAAATAAGACCTCCCTGAAAATAAGGCCTCCCCAATAATAAGGCTCCCGAAGCTACCTTAACTCTGGACTCTGGGCCGGAGCAGTGGG